AGGTGCGCCAGCCACTGGGCACCAATAGAGGCTCAACCTCCGTACATCGCAATTGCTCGTCGGAAACGATAAGGCCCCCCCGATTTGGGGCTAGCCCCCCCTCCTCGGGGGCCTTCAAAGCAACCTGTCGAGGCCATCTTTGGGCCACCTTGGGGCGCTCTAGGGGCCGTCTCGGAGGCCTCGTGGGCATGGCTTGGAGCTCTCTTGGGCCATCCACCAGGAGGCCTCCCCCTTTGGGGCCTTCAAGTCCGCCTCTTGGCGCCCTTTTGGCGCCAATTTGGGGCGTTCTTGGGAGGGCTTGGAAGCCTCTTGAGCCCGACTTTGGAGAGCTTTCTTGGTCAAGTTTGGAGCCATTCGCAGGTTTCTAAAGCCCACGGGAACCGATAAGGCGAAAAGGCAGCAGCCACTGATGTGTCAAACAAGTCGGTCGACCACCTGCGCCCAGAAGGCAGGTGAGATCTCCTGGCACTCCAGCCGTCCCTGCGAACTACCAATGCAAAATGGTCGCGGCGCGGCCGCGCATGCTCCAACTTTGGAGGCAGACTGCGTTTCGTCTTGTTTTTCACAGGGATGGCGGGGGGCGGGCCCTCATGGAGTCGGCATGGTTCCGGGTTAGACGCCGGCTGGGGGGGGGGGGGCAGTGCATATAAGAGGGAACAATGGTAAGTCTCTCCCCGAAGGGGAAGAAGGGGGTTGGAAGAGGAAGCGCCGTAGACCACCTACGCCCAGAGGGCTGGTGGGATTATCCTGGCGAAGGACCCAACCATATGCAATTGTGAGCACCGCAGTTGTTAGTCCCGCCTTCGGTGGAATTTCCTGTGGGGCCACGAAACGCGTGAGTGGTGGGGAACCGATTCGTGGCCGAGTTTCGCCGTGGCCAGAATAGCCCCTTTATTGCTTATCAAGCGTGTCTTATGACAGAGCACGATGGCTGTATCGGACGCCGTCGCAAATCCTGGCCGCCGAATCCGCTCACCTTCTTTCTCTTTGCATGCCTCCACCCCGCCCCTTCTTTTGCGCTAGCAGTGCCGCACGGACGCCTCAGCACATGCAGAGAGGAGAGACTTGCATCAACCCCAGCGTTTGGGTTCGAGGCGCTCTCATCCACCAGTGTTTCCTCTCACCTACTCGCCGCGCCCCCTCCACGCGCGGAGGAAAAGCGCATCGACCCTGGCGACAAGAACGCCTACACGTGGGAGGAGTTGGGGCCGCTCTGTTTTGTTCCACCCACGCTGCGACGCTCTTCGCTGATGTTATTTCCTTTAGATGCGGGTATCTAGTTATAGTTTATAGTTGCCTCGTGGCCTTCGGCGGCCCATCCTGCCACCGTGCCTGGTCTGTGGGTACGGAGCCTACCGGATGCTCGCTGGGATCTCGTGGGAAGCTTCTCGGGGGTCTCTCGGAGGCAGTTTTGAGGCGTCTTGGGGGGGGGGGGGGGGGCGTTTTGGGGCCTCCCTCTTGGGCCGTCTTGGGCGATTCTTGGGCCGTCTTGGGCCGCTCGGGCCGTCTTGGGGCTCGACTGGAAACCTCTTAGGCCGTCTTGGGGTGGCGCTGCAGGCCTCTTGGGCCGTCTTGGGGCGTCGGAAAGCCGAAAGAGCGAGAAAGCAAAATCCTTGGAACACCTCAGGACAATTCATGTGCTTTGCTTCTTGGGGCTCTCTTGGGAGGCCTCTTGGAGGCCTTGGGGCGTCTTGGAGGCCTCTATGGCCGCCTGGGCGCCATCTTAGGCTTCTTGGAGCGATCTGTCGGCGATTCGGCGCCCATCTGGCCATCTGGGCCGTCTTTGGGGCCCTCTTGGGGCCGCTTGGGCCCGTCTTGAGGCCTTCTTGGGATAGAACACGTCATGCGAGAAGAATTCCCAGAGCCCAGTGGAGACGCGGGAAGGCTCGAGATTTGGCATTTTGGGGCCTTGTCCTGTCAAAGACACTTCAGGAGTGAGGATTGAGGCCCAAGGTGTTGGGCGAAGGACCTGAGGACACGCCCACTCCGTGCCCAGCGGCACTGTGGCGGATATGACACGCACATGCACAGATTAACATAAGCATGCATATAGTGAGAGCAAGAGATAAACAGAGAGAGGAGATGGGGACGTACATACATACATACATGCATGCATGCATGCATACATACATGCATACATACATATATACGTGTGTACGTACATACATACATACATACATACGTTTCTACCAACCTACCTACCTACCTACCTACCTACATACATACATACATACGTACATACATACATACATACGTACATAAATAAATACATACATACATGTTTTGACGTATGAGTGTATACATATATATATATATATATATATATGTGGTCGCCCCCCAAAATGTCATACCTTTTCGTCTCCTCATCCTCGACTGTTTTTTTCCTTTTTCTCTTTCTCTCTCTCTCTCTCTCTCTTTCTCTCTCTCTCTCTGCCTCTCTCTCTCTGCCTCTCTCTCTCTCTCTCTCTGTCTCTCTCTCTCTCTATCTCGTTCTCTCTCTCTCTCTCTTTCTCTCTCTCTCTCTCTACGCAATGCTTGGCGCCACCGATGCAAGGAAACGCTGTGTATGTTTAATTGTTTTGATTTTTTTGGTCTGCGAAGCCACGAAACACTGTGTACTTTTGTTTTTTTGTTTTTTTGGTTTTGAGAGGCAGAGAGAGGGGTGCTGGGAGGGAGGCCGCGGCGGGCACGGGGGCTTGCAAACCCAAAAAACCAAAAAAACCAAACATACACAATGTTTCGTGGCTTCGCAGACCAAAAAAAAACCCAAAAACAAAAATACACAGCGTTTCCGTGCATCGGTGGCGCCAAACACGGTGCACGCGCGCGTTCTGTCTTGATTCGGGAGGCACAGAGACAGGTGCTGGGGGGGGGGAGGCGGCAGGGGAGCAACGAGCTCTCTCCCCAAGCTGAGCTTGAAAATAACCTACTACTCAACTCCCTCCGTCTCCAACACACCACCAGATACTCAACCGGCTCCCTCCCTAAGCTGAACTTGAAAATGATATTCTACTCAACTCCTTCCGTCTCCAGCACACCATCCAGTACTCAACACCCTCCGTCCCCAACACGCCAACCGATACTCAACAGGCTCCCTCCCCAAGCTGAACTTGAAAATTATCCCAGAGGAGCCCGAGGAGTTGAAGCCCCGAGGAGAGCAATATTAGTAGTAACGGTAAACGCCGTCCTCCTCCTTCTCCTCATCGTCGCAATTGTAGCAGTAGCGATAAATAGAAGTAGTAGTAGTAGTAGTAGTAGTAGTAGTAGTAGTAGTAGTAGTAGTAGTAGTAGTAGTAGTAGTAGTAGTAAGTAAAAGTACAAGTACAGTAAAGTAGTAGCAGCAGCAGCAGCAGCAGCAGCAGCAGCAGCAGCAAGTAGTAGTAGTAGTAGTAGTAGTAGTAGTAGTAGTAGTAGTAGTAGTAGTAGTAGTAGTAGTAGTAGTAGTAGTAGTAGTAGTAGTAGTAGTAGTAGTAGTAGTAGTAGTAGTAGTAGTAGTAGTAGTAGTAGTAGTAGTAGTAGTAGTAGTAGTAGTAGTAGTAGTAGTAGTAGTAGTAGTAGTAGTAGTAGTAGTAGTAGTAGTAGTAGTAGTAGTAGTAGTAGTAGTAGTAGTAGTAGTAGTAGTAGTAGTAGTAGTAGTAGTAGTAGTAGTAGTAGTAGTAGTAGTAGTAGTAGTAGTAGTAGTAGTAGTAATAGTAGTAGTAGTAGCAATGCTAGGCTGTGCTATGCTATGCTATGCTGCGCTGTGCTATGCTATGATATGCTATGATATGCGATGCGATGCTGCGCTGCACTATGCTAAGCTAAGCTATGTTATGATATGCTGCGCTATGCTATGATATGCTATGCTGCGCTATGCTATGCTATGCTGCGCTATGCTATGCTATGCGATGCTATGGTAATGATGCGCTGCGCTAAGCTGAGCTGAGCTAAGGCGAGATGTATGATATTGGTGGCAACTATATATATATAGCAAAAACTGACATATTGATAACACGCACATATATATAAAGAAATGCATACAGAGATCGCGAGAGAGAGAGAGACAGATATATATATATAGAGAGAGAGAGAGAGAAAAAAAAAAAAAGGGAGAGGGAGGGAGAGGGAGTATGAGAGGGAGAGAACATGATAAATGCTTAATGCTGCAACAAGCGGGCAGAAGCGCACATAGGGCACATACACACCTGACAGACAGGAACGAACAACATCCAGGCAGAAACCAATGATAAACAGGAGAGAGTGTGAGAGGAGGAGAGAGAGCGAAGACAACAATTAAGTACTTAGGGGGGAACACTGAAACGAATACGAGAACGGAGAGAAAGAGACGGACATAGAACACACATACAGTCCGGGACAGTAGAGGATACACAGTTGCGCAGGGAAAGTACACAGAGTCAAAGTTTGGTGACAGACCCAGAGACCAGGACAGACAGGAATTGAGATTTTGGTGGAGACACAGGCTGACACAGAGGCAGAGAGAGAGAGAGAGACGGAAACAGCAGCAGATCTTGGGAGAGACAGGTGGACGCACAGAGACACAACGGCAGAGCCTCAGAGAGAAAGAGAGAGAGATATATATATATATATACACATAGCGAAGTAAAGAGACATACACACAGTCAGACAGGCACAGACAGACTGGCGCCCAACCTCGGGAAGGCCGCGATGAGGAGCTGCAGGAACGGCGAGGGGCGTTGCAAGAATTCGCGCGGTGACTCTGCGTGTCGGCAGTGCGGTCGGTGCTTCGTCGCCCTGCACTGTCTGTGGGGCGCAGCGTGTGCAGCCCGCCGTCGTCGTCGTCGCCGCCGCCGCCGAAGCCGCCCAAGCCGCCGCCGCCGCCGCCGGAGCGCCCAAGCCGCCGCCGCCGCCGCCGGAGCGGCAGGCGCATCGCAGGGCACTTCATATCAGATGGCCCCGCTCGGAGTTGGGACCTCCTGCGGACTATCCGCCTCTCGAGAGGCCGCCCGCACCTCCCACACCCGCGGGCAGGCACGGGCACCGGCCGAGCGGCACTCCGCACTCCGACGGGCGCGGGGCACGGGCGCAGCACGCAGACGGGCGTCCCGGCGCGTTGTCGCGCGCGGCTCCCTCGACGCGGTGCTGGGCATGGGCTTTGCGCGGACCGGGCGGCGGCGACTCCTCCTCCTCCTCCTCCTTCTCCTCCTCCTTCTCCTCCTCCTCCTCCTCCTCCTCTTCCTCCTCCTCCTTCTCCTCCTCCTCCTCACCGCAGCCGGCGATCGCGCGGGAAGTATCGGTGCGAGGCGCTCGTCTCGTCGACGCCGAGAGCTGCTCGGCGGCAGGACTGGCGCACCAGCTCCCCTCCCGCGCTGCGGCCACCGAGAGGGGACCGAAAGCGGGCACGGCGGTCAGGACGTGAAGCTTTTGAGGCTGGTGCTGCCGCCCAGGCTCAGGGTAGGAGCTGCTGCTCTGTGCAGCTTCCCAGGGGCGCTCGTTGGGGAAGTCTTCCCTGGAGCGGGCTTGGGGGGGTCGGCCTACCTGCGGGGCACGCCGAAGGAGGGCAGCTGGGCAGGTGCGGTCGGCGCAGCACACAGAGGCGCGCGCGAGGCAGGAGCAGCAGCAGGCAACGCTTTTGTTGTTCGTGCCCGAGGTGGAGCTGAAGCGGGCGGCGGGCGATGGCGCGTGGCTCTCGCGGCTCGGACCAGGGCGGCAGCAGGCGTCGGCGTTTTTTCTGTTAGGGCCCGAGGTGGAGCTGAAGCGGGCGGCGGGCGACGGAGCGTAGCTCACGCGGCGACAGCAGGCGGCGTTTTTTTCGGGGGAGCTGAAGCGGGCGGCGGGCGGCGGCGCGCAGCTCACGCAGATAACGAAGGCATCAGGCTGTGGCAGCAGGCGGCGGCGTCTTTTGTTCGGTCCCGAAGTGGAGCCATGTGGCTCACGCGGCTCGGGTCAGACTGGCAGTAGGCGGCGCTGTTTTTTCTCGGGCCCGCGGTGTGGCTGAAGCGGGCGGCGGGCGACGACGCGTGGTTCATACGGCTCGGCTCAGGAAGGCAGCAGGCTGCGTTTTTTGTTCTCTGGCCCGAGGTGGAGCTGAAGCGGTCGGCGGGCGACGGCGCGTGGCTCGCGCGGTTCGGCTCAGGAAAGCAGCAGGCGGCGGCTTTTTGTTGGGCGAGGGGAGGGGGGCGAGGGGGAGCCGAAGCGGGCGCGCGTGGCTCCCGCGTCTCGGCTCAGGGCGGCAGCAGGCGGCGGCGTTTATTTTGGCTTGAGGTGAAGCTGAAGCTGGCGGCGGGCGAAGGCGCGTGGCTCACGCGTGGCGCGCGCGCCTCGGCTCAGGGCGGCCGCAGGCGGCGGCGTTTTTCTCTGGGGGGGCCTGAGGTGGGGCTGAAGCGGGCGGCGGGCGACGGCGCGTGGCTCACGCCGCTCGGCTCCGGGCGGCGCTGCAGAGTGGCCCAGGCGCGGCGGGGGAGGCAGAGCCTGCGGGTGCCGGTCGAGCCGTGCCACCCGCAGGCGGGAAGGGGCCGAGCCGGGCCGCACGCGGCGGGCCACGGGGGAGGCCGCCCCCCGCGCAGGGAGTTGTTGAGGGTCGCGGCTGGCGCCGAAGCGGCTGGACGTGTCGCGGTCTCCTCCTCCTCCGCCTCCTCCGCCTCCTCCTCTTCCTCCTCATCCGCTTCCTTGTTATACTCCTCCTCATCCTCCTCCTCCTCGAGGTTTTCTGTGCATCTTCGTGGGTGGTTCTCGTCGGGTTTCCAGCCTGGGGGGGCCGAGGGGCGCCCGGGGCTGCCCAGATCGCCCCGAACGCCCGCCAGAGACCCGAGGTATGAACCGAATACCGAACATCGAGGGTCAGCGGCAGGACTGCCTATCAGACGGTCGTGTTTTCTGCATCCCGGTGTTTGCGAGGCGTTTACAGTAGGCACATGAGGTAAAACATTGGCCTGCAATCAGTTGCCCCACGAGAATGTATGTTCCCCCGTTGGGGCCCAGAGACCAGTGGGGGGAAATTTCGAAACTCCAGGTCGACGAAGGCTGTGCCCATAGAGTTCCTACGGGAAGCGCTCTTCTCGTGTGCGCTTCGTGTACTTCACGATTCCCGCCTGGAGCCTAGGGACGCCCGCTCCGCACACGAAGTCTTTCATGGTCTGAGTGCGCCTCCCTTCCTTCCCTCCTCCGCGGCCGCCGTCTTCTGTCCACCTCCCTGCTGTGCACAATCCGACTTTCCGCGCCCTTGCTTGGGCTACGGACACGGTGCACGATCGCCATCACGGCACTTGAGAGTATTGCGAAGGCCTTACGGCCAGTGCCGCCGACCCTGAAGACGACGAAGACGAAAACGAGCGGGGGGGGGGGTAGGAGGCGGACGAGGAGGATAAGCGGAGGGGGAAGAGGAAGGGTGGAGGAAGCGGATGGGGGAGGAGGAGGGGGGGTAAGGATGAGGAGGAGGAGCAGGAGGAGCAGGAGGAGGAGGAGGAGGAGGGGGGGAGCAGCCAGAGGAATGCGGAGGAGGAGGAGGAGGAGCAGGAGGAGGAGCAGGAGGAGGAGGAGGAGAAGGAGGAGTGGGGGAGCAGCGAGAGGAAGCGATCAGGAGCAACCAATTCTGGAGGCCTCGGCTCTCGACGGAAATGGGAGGGAGAGGGCGGGGACAAAACCTTTCCGAAAATCAATGAATATGGCCTCTCCGGGCCTGCTTGGGAGTCCCTGTGGGGCTCTTTTGACCCGTCTGAGGGCCCCCTTTGGCCGTCCTTAGGCGTTCTTGGGCTGTCTTGTGGGGCTTGGGCCGTCTAGGGGCGCTCTTGCAGATCCGTCGTCGCGACCCCCCCCTCCTCCAGTGCATCTACAGAGGGCCCTTCTGTAAAAGCCGCAAACGGGGGATGGTATTTTGAGCCGGGACCCCCCCCCCCGAGACCTCCCCAGGACCCTCCCCCCGCGCGGGGAAGGGATCAAAGGGAAGGGGCTCCCTTTCGACTCAATGACAACGTTGTTAATTTCGCTTTGGCTGAGTTGCTTCATTTCGCTTTGGCTGGCGCGCTTTTGAGGACGAGGGCCCAGGGAAAGAGGGGGGGAGCGGCGACGGACCCAGAAAAGAAGACGACGAGTACGTACGAGGACAACAATCACGACGAACAACGCATTCCACACGCCGACAGGATCGGCGGATTTGCGAGACGGATGCGTTTCCCGTTTGGCACCCTTTTGATGTCTTCGGGGTTCGCGCACGATTGTGGTGCATGCGCAGTCGAGGTTGCCAGGATGCTCGAATCGGAGCATCCCACCCAAAGACGGCCCTAGGAGGCCCCAGGAGGCGCCCAAGAGGTCCCAAGAGGCCCCCGAGAGGCCCCCAAGACGCCCCAAAAGGCCCCCAAGAGGCCCAAAAGAGGCCCCAAGAGGACACAAAACGGCCCGCGAGAAGCCTCCCAAGAGAGCCCAACGAACTTTCACTTCGTCTCATTCTCAATACCCCGGCACGGTGGCGGGATGGACCGAAGGTCACTAGATTTTCCATCTCCTTATCCCGAATTCGGGTTACACAGCCCTAAGACAGCTCAAGAGGGCCCTAAAACGGCGCCAGAGGGATCCAGGAGGGCTTCATGTTACAGGCCTCTTGGACCGTCTTGGGGTTATCGCCGGTCGTATTCAAAATCTAATGGGCCGTCTTGGAGCACCTTGGCCGGAGACGGCCGGAGGCATCCTGGGCATTCCTGGGAGGGGTGAGGGATCTAGTCCGTTTAACCGGATCCCCCCCCCCGCAAGCCAGCCGGACCGAACCCCAAGGGGACGGCGGATAGCTCGGGATCTTGAAGGTGGACGCGGGGCCGCGTGGTAACTGACCGCGTGCGCACAATACAAGTAATAGCGGTTCCAGGGCGTGAATTTGGCTGCACTTCTGTGGGTCCTGGTCGCCGAGGCATGAACCCAGAGTACTTTGCAATGGGTCGTGGCCTCGGAGGCGCGTATCGCGTGTACTTTACGAGGGATCTGCGCCTCGGGAGCGCGAGCGTCGTATATTTTCGAGGGATCCTTGACTCGGGCACCGCGCAGTCCCCTCCTGTTTGCACAAGCCTTCCAGTTTTGACGTCCCCATGTGATGCCACACCTGCAACGAACGTTCGAACATTCGCTTCCCGTTCTTGTCAGGTCAGGTTTGCGAGACGGATGCGTTGCCCGTTTGGCACCCTTCTGATGTCTTCGGGCTTCGCGCACGATTGTGGTGCATGCGCAGTCAAGGTTGCCAGGATGCTCGATGCGCATGGCGTGGCCGGCCTGTGGGAGAGCTGGATGCGCATGTGGCCACATGTGTTTCCAGCGCTCGGCAGTTATATGGCCAGCTACGCAGGGCTTCCGCAGGTATAACGCGCGCGTGACCTCCTGATGTTCCAAGTGAGGGTCCAGCCGCGTGTGTTTGAGTTTGCTGGTCTGATGTGTGTTCTGCGCGCGGGTGCAAGAACAAGCGTTCTTGGTTGTTTTCCGCTCGCCCCCCTTCCCTCCCCCATCCCTCCTCATGCACCCCTCCCCCTCAGGAGTTCAAGGCCCATTACTTGGCCCATGGCCAGAGTGTGACCAGCTTCAAGGCCTCCGGGTGCCCCCCAGCGGCGGCCCAGGGCCTCAAAATCCTTCACCGCCGTCTTCATCGTCGTCGTTTTCGTCCTCGTCGCCGTCGCCGCCGCGGCCGCCGCCGTCGTCGCCGTCGTCGTCGTCGTCGTCGTCGTCGCCGTCGTCGTCGTCGTCGTCGTGTCGTCGTTTGCCTGGCCCGAGCAGCTGCGCTCCCGTCTTGAGGCGCCCTCGTGGGACGGGCCCGGGCGGCCCGTGCCATGGGCGCGCCCCCGCTTTGGCCACGTACGCGTTGAGCGATCGCCGCCGCTGCGACCAAGGCGAAAAAGACAGTTCGCCATCGCGGGCCCCTGGTCTGTGGTGAGGAGAAGAGCAACAGACACTGGTTCAAACATACACCTTCGGGGGGGTCCGTGCGGAGTTCTGGGGTCTGCCATCCGTGGGTGGATCTCCGAGGTGAGCGCGCTGCACATGGAGCGCACTGCCTGGCAGCTTCACGCAGATGCCCAGAATGCAAGCGAAACAGTTGAATGCCTTTGCCCTTCTTTGAGGCGTCTCATCCCGTTTTTCACACCCTGTTGCCGGGTGACCCACCCGTGGACGGGTCGCCCGTGAGGTGTGCGCGCCTCGCGGGGAGAGCACTGCAGGGGCAGTGTGTCCCGCCACGTCCAGACCCGGAACGCCACTGCAACGGTGGGCTTTGCCCGCCCAGACTTCGGATGACCCGCCCGTGGGTGGCCCACCCGTGAGGCGAGCGCGCCGTGCGGGGAACACACTGCGTGGCAATGTTTCGCTTCATGTTGAGGCCCAGGACGCGAGTTGCACATTCGGCCTGCCCCACCCCGGTTTTCGAGCGGCCCGCCCGTGGGTGGATCACCCGCAGGCGGGCGCGCCGTAGTAGGAACGCATGTCGTGGCAAGGTGTCACCTCATGCTCACGCCCACAGTGCAAATCGTACCAGTTCCTTCTTCCACCCAGTTTTCGGAAGACCCGCCGTCCGGTGGAGCACCTGTGAGGTGCGCGCGCCACACGGGGAACGCCCGGCGCAGCAGTGGATCGTTCTTTGTCGAGGCCCAGAACGAAGACAAGCCAAATGAAGGTTTTCCGCACGCAGCTTTCGGGTGACCCCCCCGCGGGTGGATCCCCTGTAGGTCAGCGTGCCATCGGAAGTGCATTGCGCGGCAACGTACCACCCCATGTTGCGGACCAGAATGCAAGCGAACCATTTGGTTCCCCCCACCCAGTTTGCGGGTTACCCACCCGTAGGTGGGTGACGTGTGAGGAGAGCGCGCTACGCGGGGAACCTACTGCGTGGCAAGGTATCGCCTCACGCTGAGGCACAGAATGCACATGTAACATGTGTCTTTTTCATTCCAGTTTTCGGGTGACGCACCCGCGGCTGGGTCACCTTCACAGGCCGAGAGGCCGCAAGGATTCACAGGCACACCATGCCTCCGCGGGGGCAACGACTTCGGGGAAAAAGCCCGAGCCCGCCCGGGTTTCTTCTTCCGGCGCGCCCCCTCCTCGCCGGAGGTGCTTCAGCACGCAATTGGCGGCGAGATGTGTTGACTCCCGCGCGCCCGCCCAGCCGCGAACGGGGGCGCGCTTCGGGAAGAGGCCCCGCGGCGCCAGCCGCCCGAGCACTTCCAGTACCCAGCACCTGCCCTGCTGCGAGCCAGCGAGCGTGTCGGGAGTGCGCCCCCCGAGGCGTCCACCGCCCATGCGTGTGTCTCCGGCCTGGCTCCTGGCCCCAGGCCCGGCGTGTTTCGGGAAGGGCCGCTGAGGTCATTTCAGAAATAGCCATCGGTCGTTGAAAGTAGGTATTTGTGGATTCCCAGATTCCAATCTACTTTCAGCGCCTTCCTACTTCAAGAGTCGAGTGGTTCTCCCTCTTCCCTCCTCTTCGGGAGGCGGGCGGAAGCCCAATCTATTTTCAACGCCTTCATACTTCATGTTTATACCTACTTCTTCCGACCGATGGGTAGCCTTCGGCTGGGGGAGCGCTCTGGGATGTATCGCACTTACTTCCAATGGGGTTGATTTAGGAGTCCACGGTCTCTTCGGGCGGGGCCTCTTTGGGGAAGGCGGTTGCGCAAAGGGAGGGGGGCCCGCATGGTTTCTGCGAGGCTTGAGGGCGTCCAAGGGGATCTCGAGCAGTTCAGCAAGGCTTCCAAGAGGGATGTGTCGCGCGCGCGGCGCGGCTCGGGAATAAAGATTTCTGCATGGTAGATATAGAGAAAGCACCATGCGAGGCTTTCTGGGGGAGCGCGAGCTTTCGAGAGCCGAGCCCGCGTGCAACGCTGTGGCGGGGCGCCCCAAAGGAGCAACGGAGAACCGAGGTCAGCGCCCGAGCCGCGGCTGGGAGCTATCGGCGGCCGGAGCCGCGGCTTCCGAGGGATGAGACAATGGGCGCCAGCTCGGGTGTCGGGCCGAGTGGCGACAGGCTTTCCAATCGGACAGGCCTCCACGACGGAGGCACATGGCCTAGGGCCGATAGGATTGCCTTAGGGCTGAACAGTCGGCCCGAGGCTCGGGCATGCAGATGAGGCCAACAGCAGGTGCGGGGCGCAGGCGGGTTCCCTCCATTTTCGTCGATTCCGATATCAGCACGCGGAATTCAGCGGCCGAGCGCACGTTGAAGACGGCGACGCGAAGGAACGCGCACACACACACAGACACAGACACAGACACAGACACAGACACACACACACACACACACACACACACACACACACACACACACACACACACGCATATCGTATGCTCTTCGCCCTCAGCGTTCCCATGGAATTGAAATCTCGGGCTGGAAGATGTGGATGCGGCTTCGGTTTGGGGAGCCCAGGGTTCTGTGGCCTGAGAGGCTTTGCGGCAGTGTGCTTGGGGCTGGGGCCGGTGGGTGAACCAAACGCGCGGTTCTGTAGAGCCCGGACGAAGGCTGAGAGTTTGAATTCATGGGTGAGTGCATGGCCTAGAGTTTAGGTCCATTGCTAAGGTCGATGGAGCACTCATGCCGTAGGAGCGTAGGCCTCATGCTGAAGATTGGGGCTGGATCTGAGGATTCGCACAATGGCTTCCCTGACAAGCCCAGGCACATAAACTCGGCAGCACCTCCGGGCACTTTCAGTTGACCGTATGGCTTGGGGCATCGGACGTGCCCCTTCTCCGATCTTGCAGCTTCCCGTCCCAAGTCCCCTCCTCAGGAGTCCGTACAAGCCTCCCGCGTTATTACAAACACTTGCCTTGTGTGAAAGACAACATTCTATGGGCGTGCCATTCAGGCGAGGGCCCCGCATTGAAGAGGAACGAACTTGAATCCCTGCAGCGCATCGTCAGGAATGCGATGAATTTTGGTCATGCATTTCCACGAGGTGTTCAGCCAGTCCCGCATTTTGACAAATGGCAGCCCCCGTCCCTGCATCTGTTTGGAGAGGGTTGCATCCCTGGTCCACGGAAGTTTCAGGCGTGAGCCCCAGCTTGACAAGGAACCACCCTCCGTCTGTGCAGGTGCCACACATGTTGCAGCCTACCCCGGGCAAGTCTTCAACGAGCGCCCCATGTTGAAAGGGAGCCGCCTTCCATACTTGAACTGTTCAACGAATGTGCGCGGCGTCTCGGGGAGAGAGCCTCATGTTGAAAAGCAACCGCCCAAACCACTTGCCATCCATCCATCCTTGCAGCTGTTGCAAGCTTTAAGACGACTGCGAGCGGCGCTGATGCGAGAGCTCCATTTTGCAAGTTTGTTCGACGAGCGCGCGTGCGGCGTTTAGGCGAGAGCCACATTCTGAAAGCCACCCGCTCTCCACCTTTCTAACCGCTGCATGTTTTTCGGCGACTGCGCGCGGCGCTAAGGCTAGAACCTTATTTTGCAAACCACCTGTGTTGAATCCCTGCAATTGTCTGCAAAAGCAAAAAAGGGAATGCGCCCGGCGGCGAAAAGAGAGCTTCATGTTGAAAACCACCCGCTTTACATCCTTGTACTTGCTGCAATTTGGTTGGGCGAATGTGCGTGGCACTATGGCGAGAGCCCCCTATTGAAGACAATGTGTGCTACGATGTTGTACTTACCAGCGACAGAATAGTAGAACGAGTGTGCGCGGCGCTACAGCGAGAGCCCAAATTTTGCAAACTAGTTCTGCCCCATCCTTGTAATAGATGCGAGTTTCAAGCTTCAGGGCAATCAAATGTAAGGAAGTCACAGGCAAAACAGCTGGCCCGCCTCATCGACACGTCTGGGAGTGCGACATGGAGGAGTTACCTATAAACAACATGGGTCGAGAAGGAGGAGGAGGGGAGGAGGGGAGGCGAGGGAGGGACGGGGACGGGGAGGAAGAAGGTGCGGGGGTGAGGGAAAAATTGCCAAGGGGGGAAGAAAGGCCCCGACCCCCATAACCGGCGTTTGCTGCACGGCGTTCGGCGTTCATTCCACAGCCTTGTCTTATTCGATTCCTTGCTTGGACGCATGTACTGACCAGCTTCGCATGTCGGGGTGCTTGTTTCGGACGGGGCTAGGGCAAGGGTACATCCGTTCCAGAGCGTTCCGGAACGCTCTCAGAGCGATCCGGAACGCTCTGAGAAGGCGGCGCCGCCTGAGATTTCCCCCAGAGCCGCCGAATCTCAGAGATTCTCGATTCATCCTCACCCGAGTTTGTCCTCGTCCTGGCTTCGTCCTAGTGTTACTAGGGTGTTGCATCTGCTCTCTAAACTGGGGAAGAGGGGTGGGTGACGGGGGGGGGAAGGAGGCGGCGGAATGGAGAAGGACGGGAAGAGGTAGCGGGGTCGACGGAATGGGGCGGGGAGGAAGCGTGTAAGGGGAAGGGGGGCGACGGCAGCAGGAGGATTGGAAAGCCTTGAAAGCCTGGCGTTGCAAATTTTACCAAACGGGCGTTTACGCTCCGTTTCGGGCCCTGGGACCCTCGCAGATCGACCCCGCTCGGGAAATTACGCAGAAAAAGGGGGGGGGCTGGGGCTGCGGTCGTGATGTTTCCCGATCTTGTATTTTTTTCGCAGCGTCAGATCTTGGGGAGGGCACGGAGGGCGGAGGGCTAGAGAAGGGTGGGGGAGGAGGGGAAGGGGAGGATGGGGAGATTTGCAAAAACGCCGAGATCCTTCCTCAGACCCCTCCCTCCCTCCCACGGTCCATTTCGAGCCTTGCGATCCGATTCGATATCAGCTCTGACCGGCTCGATGCAATTTGGTTTCGACTTTCCATAGATCCGATTCGGCCGGACGGTCGCATGGTGTGCATGTGTATCTTGGCGCGGCCGATCGGATTCGATTTGGGCTCCGTGACGATGCAGCCCGACCCGACGCACATCCCAAACCGATCCGACTTAAAGGTTCGATGTTGATCGATCTTGCCCCCATCCTCATCAGGCCTCCTCCCCCGCTTCCTCAGACCCGCTCGCTGCGATGATGGGCTGCCTCCTCCTGCGGGCGCCCCGATACCGACCGCCCTCGTGCGAGGCCTGGTGGGCCAACATGGCGGTCGCGCCCGACCAGGCGCGCTGGCCCGCTGGCGCCGCCTTCGCCGTTGCCGTCGATCTGCGCATCGTGGTCGCACCCAACCTCCGAGCATCGAAGATACATTAGCACCCCACCCCCCTGGCGGCGCCTCCTGCGCTGCCCCTGGCGCGCTCCGCGCGCCAAAGGATTGGGGCCCAGCGCCGACCCCAGAAATGTTCGCGGACCTCCGAAAGTCTTTGGTCATGCAGCCCTTTTCTGCTAGGCCAGGGTCGGCGCGCCGAGGCCGTGAGAGGAGGCGGCCTGTGGGAGGCGAGCCCCCGGAGACCAGGGCACTGCAGACCAGGATTCTGCCAGGTCCCGCCGACGAGGACGAAGAACGGAGGTCGTTTCGTCCTGCGCCTGCAGTTTCCTCCGGTGCCCCAGTGCACCAGGGGTCCCCGCCAGCCCTGCCCAGCATGGCGGGCTGGTGGACCTGGGTGGCACCCAGACAGACATGCACCTCTCAGGACTTGTTCGGAAAGCACCAGAGAACAGACACGGCGAGATCGAAACCACGTTCACCCGCTTGGCGTGACATGCTACGGCAGTGCAAGTGGAGGGGCCATCCGTTTCTCAGGTTGGAGAGGCTTGTACAGCTGATCCATCGGCATCACGGCTTGAAGCTTCTCATGGAAGCTGAGGCCGAGACAGGCGCAATGTCGAAGTCAAAGGGCGTGAGCCTAGGTGGGCTTGTGTGGCTACACGGCGAAGCGGATTCACTCGCACTTCCGGGAGCAACCCCACGTGCAGCATGCGGAAAAGACACGGCAGACCAACCAGACCCTAGCGGGCAACCCACGCCAAGGATCGCTCAAACCAGATGTGGGTCAGCCCCAAGGATTCCGCAAGGAGGATCTGATTGTGCCACGCTTGATGAGGCTCCAGACGGGCTCGCCGCAGCTACATACAGTACGGGGTGTGTTGACGGCGTGGCCAAAGCTAAGGAGACAAGTTGCCCTACGGCGTCTGGGCATGATTAAAGACCCCCCTTCATCGCCGCCAAGAATCATTTGCAGATGCAGAAGGATTGGCACTATCGGCCCGGACACCACACTATATGCTGCGCGCGCCCAGGTACCGTCAGTACACCAGGTGTAAGGGTGTGTGTGCGCGCACTACGTAAGCAAGCTGGATACTTACATGCGCAGCTGGACGGTAACCAGAAAGACCCAGCACAAGCGACATCGGAATACGATCAAATCGTGACATGGGTTAATGGTTTGTTATCAGAGGCGATGGCCAGCGTTTCGGGGCAAATCGGATGTCGAAAGGGGGCGGCGACGGAGCACACGACCGCCACCGACGAAGCTCTGTCGGCGGTCACATCTGGTAGCGCTCAGACACGCTTCGAGTCCTTACCGAGCCACGTCAGTGATGCCCAGGCATCTATGCGGTCGTAGCGTCAAGCTGCACCCACGGCGCCGGCACCCACGTCACAAATTTCATGATACCTTACCGCGCCGCCGCCGAGCGAAATGGCGCCGCGCCGCAAAAGCAAGCAGGGCCAGGTTGACTGGGCAGGGATACTGAATACGTCCACGCCCAGGCCGGTGGAAGGCAAGGTCATCCTTTGAGACGGTGTCGCTTATTTGGGTGAGCAGCTTACACCGACTTCGGGCGTCGCCAACCCGTCAGAATTTCAGCGTCATGGCGTTTGGTCTCAGCCCCGGGGCCCACTTGAACATCGGGCGCCCACATGCACCGAGTGGGTCCGCCCCGTCGGCGGGCGCGGCTTCCAGCTTTACGGCTACTTCAGTTTCGCGCGGAGTCTCTGGGCAGCTCGTTGGCGCCAGCCCTGGGGATGCAGTAAAGCTTGGTTCTGCCCTGTTCAGCGTCGCCATGGCGTCCGCAAATCTTGGCCCCCCTAAGCAGCCCCGAGTCGGAGGTGGCCCCACTGGCAACCGAGCCTGCGCTGGGAGAGCGCATCGCAGCGCTCCGAGGCGCGAGCACAAAGAGGCATTCAGGCCCGGGTCGTTCATGGGATCAGGATGGCCACGGACAACAGGTTTCCTGGACACATGCAGCGCGCGCTCGGCGGCGACGGGTCAGGGGCATCACCTGCGCGGGCACGGGCGTGCGCGAGCATAGGAGCGGTGATTTTCGCATGGATGGCAGCGCCCCCCGAGCGGCAGGATCAAGTCAGAGCGCGGAAAGTGCGTTGCAGGAGCAGGGATCTTCGTCTGGGAACAATTTGGCGCCGCCTTCCTTGGGGCCCGCATGAAAGGGCGCGCTTCCTTTCCAGAACGCGCGGTCGCCGCTTCCATTCGAGCTGGGCCGCGCCATCTCTTCCTGCTTTGCAGCGGCGAGAGGTCGCGGAGCGCTGCCGGGCTGAGGCGGCGCGGTCAATGTCTGTCACGCTATAAAGTGCAAGTCGCGAAAGGCGCTGATAGGCGAGGTGCATTTCGCGATGGTCGATGGGCGGCGTTGGTTTGCCGGGCCGATTTCGAGGCTGGCGCGTCGGCGCCGAACAGTGGGGCCCGCAGAGACTCGGAGATTTCTGGAGCACGACTGATTACTGCCAGCGATCGCCCGGCGGACGCGGACGCCGGACGCCGCAATCGCAGGGTGTCCGGCCAGGAGCCATTGCCCGATTGGCCTTGCCATGGGTCCGAAAACCAAAGAAAGTTAAGTTCGGAATAGGGGTGGGCCCCGAGTCTTGCCCAGCGATCTTGTTGCCTGGGTTGTTCTAGACACTGGAATGCTTCGGAATGATGATGGGCAGGAGAAGCGCGCTCTTCTTTGAGGCGCGCCAGATTTGCCTCGGACAGCGGTCGCGAGGAGGCGATGCCTCGAACGCTCCGGGCGGGGCAACCGCCGCCCCGAGAGTCTCCGGAACTTGCGCCGGCATCTCCCCGACGCCGCGGGCGCCGCGCCAACCCCGCCACGCGGGGTCGGGCAGTCCGAGCGAGCCATTTTCCCAGGCAGGTCACAGGGCCCCAAGTGTTGCCATTCGATTGCGGGAGGAGCCCTAGCCATGCCCAGCAGCGTTTTATTGCATCATCCGAAGTCCCCCTTGCCGCCCCCCCCCGCGCCCCGGCCCCCATCGCCCCCGCCCCCCGCGCGCCCCCGCCGAGCGCCCCCCCGCCGCCGCCCGGCCCGGAGGGCGCAGAGTGTTCTTCGGGGCAGCGCGGACCGACAATGGATCTTCGCGGCCCTGAAAATTTTGGCCTTCGGCCCGGGAGGGCCCACCCCGCGGCTGCCGATCGCGACCATGGCCCAGCCCAACAGAGACGAGGCTGGAGGCAGTAGGAGGGACACACAGCCGCGACGGGGAGGAGGGCCCCATCGTGGACACCGCGACCTAGTGTTAGGCAGCTACATATTCGCGGCAGTTGCGCCGGCGGCGAGGCGAAGCGCGCCTGGCAAGAGAGGCTGGCAACGCGCGCGCAGCACTGGGCCCCCTCTCTTCTCGCGCCACGACGAACATCTCGCGCCGTTCGACTGGGCGACGGCGCCGCAGCTTTGCGAGGCGATGCATCGCGAGGTCGCGCGATAGCTGGCGCCGTCGCGCGTGGCGACGGGCGCCGATGGCGCCCCGCATCTCGCGTCATCCGCCACGCAATGCGGACGCGCGGCGCTCGGGCCAGCACCTCCTTCTCGCCGGGGCAGCACCTCTTTCTTGCGAAGCCTTGTTGTCAAGGAGGTGCCCAAACAGATGACGCTGCAGTAAGTGGCGCGACTGGCGGGGCGCGCGAGGTCGAGGCGTTCGGCTTGCGCGACGCAAATATCACCATCTTGTCAGATACATTCACGTGAGCGAATGCCCCCGCGATGGCTCGGGCGGTTCCGAGATCGCAGACCGGCGCGATCGCGGGCAGATCCCGCGCCGAGAACGTCCTCGAAATTGACGTAGAGGCAAGACGGGCTGGACTCCAACCTGACTCAGATGCAAATGCTCCGCTCGTGGTCGGGTTCGACTTCGGGCACGCCTTTTCCGCCCTTGGGCTACTTGCGCACAGCGGGGCCGCTTGTATATGACGGCGACCCAGGACAAGCTCGCCCTCCTGATCGCGCATCGCAGCGCGGCCCGCACGCTCTGCAATTTTGCGACGACGATCGCGACGCAGTATTTCGACGTTGCACATCTCCTTCGTGCTTCTCGTGGGACCATGGAGGGATGCGAACTCAGCGAATCTCCATTCGCTTCGGCCTGCCCCCGTCGCGCACCAACCCGACGCCACCCTCGCAGAATCTGACGGCACGCGCCCCCGCGCGCGCGGTGAGACCATTGGCGGGGTCGTCTGTGAAAAGGCAAGGCTGGCGCAACTGCATTCGACCATGAACGGCGCCAATTGCCAAGATGCTCTGCACCCCAAACATGGCAAGCTTTGTCTCGCGCCAGTCTGCGGCCTGGGGGGGCGAGACGACGGGGCAGATGAAGCGATTTCTCGCTGATTGTTTACCCGAATGTCAGAGCTTTTCCAATGGCGCATCGTCTTTCGTCTCCGGGGTGCCGCATTGGCCCCTGCGCGGATGCGCGTGTTTCTCGGGGGGCGCCGCGGCGCAAATGCTCAGGCAGGGTCGGGGCGCTGGCGGGAACATCAGCCTCCGTGCGCATCAATGCCCATTTTTAGACAACGCTGGCCACCTGGATGTTGACCTACGCGGGGCACTTCCACATCGCGCCGCGGTCCTTCGCAAAGCGCGAAATCCACGGGCTAGTCCAGATGCCGTCTCCTTGGTGGCGCATGATGCAGGTCTGCATGCGTTGCATCAAGGGCCAGGGCGGCCCCGTGCTGGTCTCCGCCCGCGCGGCGCTGCAGTCTATCATCGCGAGATCAGTGCTCCATGTGCACGCTTGCTTCCCGCGCGTGCTCGCGCGTCATCTGGGGGCCGCCGCTCGATGGATGCATGAAAAGCCGCTGGGTGACTTGAGGGGCCCTTGTCGCCAGCCCTTTGGCGGGGCGGGTCACTGTCGAGATGCTCAACCGCGTCGCTCGCGGCGCAGGCCTGCCTCCACAGTTCGCCGAGACGGGCCTCGACGCGGCGCGCGAAGC